TATATTGCAAGGTCGCACTCAGTACACACGAGGTGCTTGCCACAAACGAGCCACAATACCTTGCTGATCTCACCAAAGAGCGTAATTCAGCACGCAAACTCTGGTCATCCTCGCGAACCATCGATCAAAGATGGTCACCGCATTGCGCTCTTTCAGATGTGCTTCTGCGGACACATCTGGAATGCTTTTCCTTCTGATATTAGGAAGCCGCTGGAGCTATGCACTTTTAAATCTAGATTTAAAACTCAATTCTTTAGATCTGCTTTTTGTATTTCGTTTGTTGTCCTTCCCCCGCACCTCTGATTTGCATGGTTGGATCCGTAGGGTGCGAAAGAAGTTCAACATACACACATAAAATAATATCAACATACTGTACTTACATACATATGTACGTGATAGCAGAATTTTCCCACTTTCTATCAGCTTCAGCATCGCCGCTATGAAAAGTACAATGTTGAAAATGTAACATCATATTTGGCTTTAGTACCCTTAAAAACCTCCAGATAACAGACCATAATAGGACTAGGTAAAACAACTTTAAAAAATTGCCATTCCGATTTTGGGTGGCCAAAATTTAAACGTTTAAGTTCACAGGATATTCATAGTCTAAGCGTTGACTGGATTATATGCGTGAAACATGCCAGCTTTCGAGCCTCATTTTTAGAATAACATTATAATTTACATCCCACGCTCAGAGCGACGGATATTAGACACCTTACCATGTTTGTGATTTCATGTATGGCATAAAACATATTGTTACCTAAGAGGGCAACACTATTTAAAACGCTAAAAATATCAGTTACGTTCTAATAGCACCAAACCCTTTAGAACATTTATGAGCAAGACGTTGACTTTCAAATCTGGAGAGGCATCAAAGCCAGCAGTCTTCCGTAATTTATGTATCCTATAATACTGGCAAAGGGGATCAGATAAGAGGCATTACTTATATTAATATATGTGAAGCGTTAAATAACTTTAAAAGATGGATTACGTGCCATTAGAACAACTGTGTTTTGTTGTTCACAGTTGAAGATTTCATCGAAACCACATAACTGTGTCAACAAACTCGCAATTCTTGCATCCACATGTTACGGAGTGCCTACAAATGCCCGTTACGGATCGGTGCCTTGTGTGCCTTCATGGTGACACACGTCTATTGTTGTGCACCTTTGGACAAAGGGTTGGTGGGTCACGCAGACACAATAGCCATCCAGGATGAATGGCGATGGCTGCAAAGGGCGGTGATGGAGGGAACGCCCGAAGGCACTCGGGGGGAAATGAAGACTACGATCTGAGTGGATGTCAAACATCAAACACTGGACACAGAGTGGAAGCCGTCTTTGTTGAAAGACGCAGCCGTGGACAGAGAGAAGTGGAGAGACTACCGCAAGGGGATATTGGTGAAGGAAATGGTAATGACCCAAACAGCTAAGGGACTAGAAGTAGATGATATGATGGCAGTAGCTACAATTCGATTCCTTGTTTTTGTGCACGCACAGTATTGAGTGACATTTTCTCACATGCAAGGGTGTTTGCCAGGCACTTTGCTAACCATCCATGCAAAAGAAAATATCGAGAAGGAATTGGTCATTCATCGAAAATAGGTGTATTGAGACTCAGTGAAGCTATCCATAACAGAGAATCAAATGTGTATATACTTAAAACCCTATTATTATCCACGAACATCTCTTGTGTGTAAAAAAAATGCAACTTCCGTGGCTCCTTCCGACCAGAGGGAGACTTATGGTATTAAAGGTGACCGATGTTTGACCCATGACCTTCGGCTTAGGTAAAAGGAACCTCGATCAAAAACAAAGGCCCGTAAATAGGGTTCAACGTTGTTCGATTAAACTTGTAAGACATCAAGGCCTCAGCTATGTACAGTACGTGTGGCTAACGTTCACAACGAAGCTGCGACAGAGCCGCAGAAATTATCTTGACGAAAATTCGCATTTCGTCAGATTTTTTTTTGCCGAAAATGTGCCGTTGTCTCCAATTGCCAACGACGAGACAAACTGTCGTAATAATGGATTTTGAGCACTTGGTAAAAATGAAAGTCCGCCCACCAGTGTTGTTGGTGTGTCTAGATGAGCCAAGCGCGTTGACAAAAAAGGTGTTCTGCACATACACTTTAAGCCCCCTCACTCGTTTTGGATTTATTTTTGGATATATTCTTGACTGTTTGAAAATGAATAACGCACGCCTGGGGCCCATTCATTTATTGAAAAGGGTTTAATGAGGGAAAATGCTACCAGAAAAGCCAATTCGGTCACTGTTATGGATTTGCATACACCCAGCTCCTCTCCTCCCCCCACTTCTTTGCCCGAATCTCACTCTGCTCATTCCAAGGCTGTAATTATAATATATAAATATTGGGGGTGACACAGATCCCCCCCAATATTCAAATATGCTCAAAATGTCCCCCCCAATATATTGCTATAAAATAGATTTCTGTTTATATGATTGTGGTTATGGTTGTACTTTATTAATCCCTAGTCTCTGCCATTACATACAATGAAACAAGAAAAGGCAAAAAAGAAAAAAAACAGAGCAATGTAATACAATACACTATTAGACATTATTGTAAAAAATAAAATTAAAAGTCCATCGTATGTGTTAAGTCAATTTTTTTTATATTTTAGGCAGGAAATTCGTTTTAAAATTTAGATTTTTTTTCTGGAGGACCCCCAGACCCCCTGGAAGATTTGGTCCCCCCCCAATGTTGACTCCATGGCTATGGCCCTGGCTCATTCCCTCTTTCCACAGTTCCCTCCACATCCTCCAGCATCTCTCTCACCTCACCCCCCACCCCCCCACAACATCGCCTCCGCGATATTCCAAGAACATCGCTCGGCAATGAAAGCACAGCTCTTTGTCGAGTGTGCAACCGAAAACAATGCGCAGATGTGCGTCGGCCTCGAGAGGACACGATGCGATGATGAAAACACTTCACAAATAAACCTCTCTTTTTGAACAAACCGTGGACGAGTGGCTTGGGTGGGGGGGATGTGTCTATGTCTGGGCACTGAGCCAGAACTTTTGCGAACTCTTTTGTGTTTCGTGGACAAACAGAACAGGCGAGCAGGAAAACATAAACCCTTCCCCAACAGCAACCACCCCCCGTCATCGTCGGCTATGAAGTTTCATCTCACAGTTGACGGCCGGAGTTACTTCAGTTGACCGTGAGTTCAAGGGGCTGGCTTTCTTTTTTTGGCGTGCCGTAAATGTGCGGGCAACACATCACCATCTTCTTGGTTCTTTCGGTAAAGTCACGTAGAAGGGAAATAATAAATAATAAAAATATTAAACATAATAAAATACAATTCTCACGACGTTTCGGCCACAACGCAAGCATTGTGGCCGAAACGTCGTTGCGGCCGAAACGTCGTGAGAATTGTATTTTATTATGTTTTATTTTTATTATTTTATTATTTCCCTTCTACGTGACTTTACCGAAAGAACCAAGAAGATGAATCCCTGCAGTCACGAAAGCTTTAAATCGAAATTTAACACATCACCACTTACACTCATTTCAGAAGTGTAACCGTCAACATCAAAGTATTGCTCTGATCACAGTCGTGTTGTGCGATTTCTTCCCCTTCTTCTCGCTCTCCCTTTCGATTTAATTGCCGCGCGAAAATGCGCGTTTCATTTTGAGACGTGTTCTTTGTAAATCTCGAGTCCGTTCTGTTTTAAATATGCAGCAGCAGCAGCAGCGGTACCGCGGGTGCCGCTCTCAACGCACAAATATGTTTAGCACAGCACGCACTGTACGTAAAGGGCCGTCCATAAATGACGTCACGCGATTTTGGACGATTTTTGACCCCCCCCCCCTTCGTCACACGGCGTCTCAAAAAGTCAGACCCCCCCCCTCAAATATGACGTCACAAAGCTTTGCCCCCCCCCCCCAAATAAAACATGCTTCAAATCGCTTTAAACTATTGTCATTGTAGTGCGTATTTAATGTGGCGCTGCACTCTGATGTTGTAGGAGAAAACATTTATTAAAAGTATATTTAATTAAGTAGAACGTGTTGTCTATATTTATTTAAAGTTGCGCATTTTGATAGTGACTTCACATTTCTCAACCCCCCCCCCCCTTGTCACACATCGTCACAAATGTCTGACCCCCCCCTCCCCCCCAGGTGCGGGACGTCATTTATGGACGGTCCCTAACACGTGCTTGGAAACATTCTCCCCTCTACCCCCACCTAACATGCTGCTGGCTGGGGGGGGGGGGGCTCGCCTCAGAAAGTCGCTTATCTTTTATTTAAAAAAAATCGACACCTTTTTATAACGCGAGAGGCGGTGTAAATGTTTAGACGGACACGTGAGTCGTCGATCGATTCACGGAAACACAGTTTTGTCCGCGCTCGCATCGCCCGCCTGTTGAATCGAAAAGCGGCAACGGGGTCGATGCGATTAATAATGATCGCAGATGCTCGCTTGTCGATTGAAGCGTCAGCCGAGCTTTACGCGGTTTGGCGATTCACATCATCTGGTGTGGCCCTGCCAAGGCAACCGCAGGCGGGACTCGAAATTCAATAAATCGAGGAGCAAACCTGGAAAAGCAGTTGCGAGTAGCAGCAACATCATCAATACCAGCTAACATCACACGCCTCGCCAAATAGAAGCAGTTCCAGCCATCACATTAAGGGTGAGTTAATTAAATGTTTGACCAAATATAACAGGATAATTTTTAAGTTGATCGTTTTGTATGGCCCGCGAATTATGTTATAAATATCCAAATGGCCCTTGGCAGAAAAAAGGTTCCCTGCCCCTATTTGTCATAAAGGTTGTGGCCGGGCCAATTCTGCGGGGAAGCGCCTTCCACTCGAGGGGAGCCGCTCTAGAGGAGATCTTGGTCTACTCTTCCACGACACTTTAGCCTGCTAAATGCGACGTGGCGATTGGCTGACTTTAGCAATTAAAGAGAATTGTATATTTTTTTCTTTTTTCACAACGGGGCCATGGGTTAGGCGAGCATGTGGTTTTACTCACCCATCCTCATCCTGGTGGTTGATATTTGGCCTCTTGGTGGAGCCCAGCAGCTCTGCAAGTAAGAGACAAAACAGGGAAAGCGGAGTGTCAAAGAGCCTGCGGAGACACAATGAACAGCAACAGCGACAAACAGCCTGCTGGCAAAGACGCAGTGAGAGAGAGAGAGAAATCTTTACACCATGTGCTCGAAGCGTATATTTCACTTTGTCAGAAACCGCCCGAGGTGGCATCAACTCAACGGCTCCAATTTCTCTTTGTGCCCAAAAACAGCGAATGGCGTGACAATCACTTTAAATGAGCGGGGTTATAAAGTCATCCGCTCGTATTGGCCGCATAAATGCGTCGGTACGACCAACATTTGCTCCCTCACGCGGTACCAATGTCCGCTCTGGCCCACGGACGCCAAGAGGTTCACGGCTGCATTGTGTGCTTGGAGGTTTTCTTCTTCTTCACGTTGCTGCTGCTGCTGATGATGATGATGGAGAGCAACAGCTCTGCATTTACATTGAGGTGGTCGAGCCAAATGATCGCGTCAGGAGCAGCGGAGTGGTGAAGCGTTGTGACGATGCCTCCTCCGTGTTCGTGAATCGGGCACCGAGTCATCAATCGCGTGTGTGTGTGTGTGTTCCATGGCCCTGAGAGTTTATTTTTGAAAAATATTTTTTCCATCGGTGCATCGTCATCCGATATCCGCAACGGCCGTCGGCGGGTTGCTGCCGGTTGTGGTGCCGGAGGTGATCAAAGTGATCTGAGCATTTCCAGCACACTGAATAATACAAAGACAATATCCGAACAGAAAACAGCTTGACAGGACGAGTGTGTGTCTTTACGAGGAGGGCCATATGCTGTAGGAGGTAAAAAAAAAAAAGATCGATTCTCGTGTATTATTCTTTGAAGAAAACTTGTTCGTGCAACGGGGGATTTATTGTGGAATTTTTTTTTTAATAAAAGCGCAGAGTAGCAATATCAATTCTATAACAATTCAATCACGCGTTCGTGTGTGTGTTGGATTGTGACATCCGCACACGCCAAGTTGGTAAAGTTGTTCCACGGCCAGTGCTCGATGACGGGGCGATAGTTGACTTGCAAATAAGTATAACCCGTAAAAACAAAGTTTTTCACTCTAAATCCTTTATATGCGTGGCGGCTAGAGTCCTCTCGTCCTCTGGCTTGAGATGGCTGCCACCTATGGGTCAGATGATTGTCTGCCAGTATTAAGCAATTGGTAATTAAATATTTAATTTGTTTTCCCTAAACAGTGTAAAATTTTGGAAAAAAATTTCACGAACATTAATTGTCTCGCACAACGAGTCTGTGTGCAATATGTCAGCTCGATTGGATCACGGGAAGTGGGTTAAAAAACGACCGAAAGGTTTGCACGGTCGTAAGCAAGCAAGCAAGCACGCAAGCAAGCGAACTTAATATAAAGGATTTAAAAATACGACTGTGCTAAATAATGACGGGTGCTACTGCAGAGATAGCAATTGCATTTTGTCAATACGTTCTGTGCCACACGAACCAGCTCTACCGTATTACAGCAAAAAAAACTAAAATTACTGTAATCGGATCCAAGTAGTAATAATGAAGACATCTTAATCTAATTACGTGCATTGACTTATATTTTTGACTTATAGGGAATGCTAACAGCTGACAGCTTAATTGTACTCTCGGAAGTTGCTTATTCCGCGCGTTCTCTCAATTTATATTTCAATTGCGCTTTCGGAAATCTTTTCACGCGACGACGGGATTTCCATTCGCACTGCGCCACCGAGTCTCAGAGAACGGCTGCGGAAGATGACGTCGCAGAATGTCACTTGAAATAGGCATCTCTATCTGCGGTAAGGGGGCACCACCTCTCTCGATGCCCTCCAACGGATGTGTTCGTTGCGTGTCAATCAAACAGAACATACGTTCACGCCTTGAGCTGGAATTTTGGCCAAATCGCACGCGGTCGTTTGTGACACGGGCTCAGACAATCAACTCCACACACACGAGAACGGCTGAAACCTGGGACCTCAGAGCAGGATCTCAGTTGTGCTATCTCAAGCGTCTCTTGATCTCCGAGCCACCGAGCCGACTCGATTTGATGGATTCTCATGCAAACATGTTTTTATTGGTTGATGGTCTAAGCCCCAACCAATGCCACCGTTGTATAACCTTCCGATGGTCACTGCGGTTCGAATAAAAGCACGTGTCAAGCTTGACATTTTACTTGTCAGATGCAGCACACAATAGCACACGCTTCACAGACACACAGTGCCGCATACTGACAATAGCCAAGGAAGAATGCGTCCGACGTTCCGTCCGCTGCGGAGACGGAGTGATGAAATCAGCCAGTGTCCAGGTGCTAGGTAGATTGATAACACTGCAGGATTGTGAGAGGTGCTGGTGGTGTTTTTGGGGAGCCTTCATACAGCAGTGGACTGACAAAGGCTGCTGCTGATGATAATAATTTTGATACACAAAGTGTTTATTTTTACTGTTATAATGTCGTTATTGTATGTCCCACAGAATTCAAATTGCACGCACACACGTATTGTGCCCAGTATTCACACATGGGTGATTTAGATAATAACAATAAAAAAAATGTTGTCCTTGCCATTGCCATAATCCACATCTATTGTTTGCGTAGTCCCCCCAGTGTTTCTTGTTCATCTGCCTCTGCAGCTGCCTAGGAATTGTGGGAAATCAGGCCAGGCAGACGTATGGCCGTGAGGTCAATGGAACGTTCAATGTTCAGTTGCAAACACTGTGCACGTTGGAGGAAATTTCGCCTGAATTCTGAACAGACGCCACACCAAACCCCCCGACAACGAATTAAGACCTCCCCGCAAAGCCAGCAATAGCTGGCATTGCGCGATTGAAACGCAAAAAGCCAATGCCACATTATGTCGCCAGATATAAGCACATAAATAGTCCCGGCAGCTTATGGGCTTTGCAAGCGAATATTATCAATCAGCATTTGGTTAAGACGCGGCTTTCACGACCATCCCTTTACGTAAGACCGACGCAGGACGATTTCTCGACAATTCTGGCTGTCGGCCTGATGAGACTGGTTCTTAATTACCGGCTAAACGTCGTACTCAAATTGTAAATGTTGTGGGTTTACTCTCCAACACACCGGTGTGCTGAACTAGTAACGAATTGGCATATTTTGTTTACGTGACAAACCTTACTAATTGGCTGTGTCGGGTGTTGGCAGGTTTAACGACACGTTTATATTTACGCGAATCTAACCCAAAAACCCCCATTATGGAAAACCATGGACTGGTTTCGACTTTATGGGTCTCATCAGCAGCCAAGCTTAAAGAAATGCCGCTGGATGAGCAGATTCTATTGGCAATCGCACTCCACACAGACTACGGGATGCTGATCAATGCAAACTGAATAAGTAAGATGACCGTGATCAATTGGCTCGGGGCAGCCTCCTACGCGCGACGCCTCTCGTGTGGGGACTTGAACGTGCGGTGGAAATGAGGGCACGGCGGCTCCCAAAGGAGGCGGCAGTGCAGGAGGGGACGTGAGGGCAGACGATGGGCTTGCGGTTGATGGGGGGGTGGGGGCAAGCACATTGCAGAGTTACGAGGTTCAGGAGGAAGAGTCATAGACATTGGGAAATTAATTGTACGTATGTACATTGAACTTCTTTCGCGCCGTACGTAGCCAAACGTGCTAACACCGGTCAACACACTTTTTATGGCATAAGGTATTCCAACGGTTTTAAGGTAATTTTGGGGTGCTGATTCCAAATCTGGCATCAGTTTTTGTCTATCACATCAGGTTTTTGAGATAGCAAATATTGCATTTTCAATAAAAACTGCAGAAGAAAAATATTAAATAAATGTGGATATCTACATAAAATGATATTATAAACACACTATCCTAAAATACAGCACCATATTTTAACACTAAAGCAGTCACTGACTCGCAACAACTTGCAATCATAAGTGACAGAGTTAATTTCGGGTAAAATCAATGAAAATGGGGTATGCCGATAGCATAAAAATGAGATGTGATAGAGCAAATCAGAGATCAGATTTGGATTCAGCACCCTGAAATTAGTCTAAAACAGCTGTAAAAGTCCAGGCCAGAAAAAAATGTTTTTTTTGTTGACCAGTGTAATCGGAGGTGCGGAGGAAGGACAACAAGCAACTCATTGGTGTTGCAGAAATCATTATTGTCATCAGCCACGATGAATCCACTGCTAGATGAATGCCTTCCTCAAGCCACCCCTCACAATCAATCTTGCGACGCGGTGATCCACACGGCGCCTGCATACCAACCGATTTCATGGCTCCATCTGGCATCGCGATGTAACCTTGAATTCCCACGGGAACAATTTCTTCATCTGATAAAGCATTTTAATATACGCCACGTCACGGAAATTGTGCAATTTTTTTAAACGCTTTTTTTTCGTTCGCAATGATCACGTTTTTGCCTCGCCACCGTTTACTTATTTATTTGCCGCAATTGCCATTTCCATTCTCCACCGATTGTTCCCCTTTGTCCTTGCGTTTTCCCTCGCCACTGCCCGCTCGCAATACCAATGGGCTCCCACCTGGTTTACGAGTGAGCGACTCCACGCCAATGCTGTTAACACGGTACTGTACGGTGCATGACAGCAGATTCCCCCCCCCCCCCCCTCGAATAATATTGCCCTCCTATCGGAGCTAGAGTGCTTGTTCGCGTGATCCACTACTCATTGTGAAGGCAACCACGATGGGGTTGGTGATGTGGTCGAGCACAAACGACCCGTTGACTCAGCTTCCCCCAGTATTCACACAATGTGGAGCAGGCTCAAGAGGACCGGTCCACATATCTACCGCTCGTGCCAGCCTTTAGCACGTGTGCCTAACCACTTGCGCTCATGCCCCCGACATAATAACGGAGTGCACGTGCACAAAGACAAAGATCCCCCATATAGCCTTGACAGGCTGTTGGGGAAAAGGCTGTTAGCGAACACCTATGAAGGCCGACGGCACACGAGGGGGTGGGTGGCCAGCACCACGCCCGGGCGCCTTTGTCTCCCCAGTGGCGATGTTTCCACATCGC